TCAATTTCCTAACTTGGTTTATGAAATATGTAGAGGTTTTGACTGGGTTCCAGCGGGAAACTATGTCAGCATGCTTTCGATGCAAATGAACAAGTAAGGTCGGAGAAGGACAGAGAAAAACTTGGCTTGACCATTAAGCCTTCTTCATGTGCGGGCCAGAGTTTTAATGGTTCTGAATGGTTTGAGTGAGACTTTCGACTTGCGATGGAAGTAGAACAAAGGAAAGTGTTTGAAGACTGTTAACCGCACCCTCTGCTTCTCACACCTCCCTGACTACTCTTTGTTCACAACAGCTCTGTAGATACAGCGTGTGTAGAGGTTAACGACTGGAGTGGCATTTGTTGCTGTGCTTTAGACAGCTGTTGCAGGATATTCATCCAGCAGTGGAGCCAGACCCCTGCTGGGTTTGATTTATACTGTTACGACTGAAGGCTACCTGGGATGTCTCGCATGTGGCATTCTAGAAAAATATATCTAGCTAAATATTAAGGATTGACATCCCTCTTCTTTTTTTCTTAGTACCATCCTCGGTGTTCTCTTTTTTTTGTTGTTATTTTTTATCTTGTGTATTCTTTTTATTGTTGTTGTCATTCTGTAAAGCACTTTGAGAAGCCACCTTTAAAGGTGCTATATAAAATAAAGTTTATTATTTATTGTTATTATATCTGACCCATAAATGGAAGCACTACTACCTGTTGGTGGCTAAGCGTAATTTATGGATAGTAATAAACAGAGGAGTTTATTTGCCATATATATATGTACAATGGGATTCGTACTCACGACGTTCTCTCAGGACATGCACAGTACAGCAGACAACACTCTACAACAGATAACACCATACATTGTGAACAGTACATTACCAAACAGTAAATAATAAATAATGGCAGTGTGTACAGACAATCCATTCAAAAAGAATGCTAAATACATGGTAGAAAGTGGTAACACTTGCCAGAGCGCAGGGAGGAGAACAGTTTGTGGCCAAGATGGTTGAGATCCTGAATAATGAATTGGGCTTTACCGCGACAGTGGATTATGTGAATCTCACCGAGTGATGGCAAATCACATCCTGTAATCGTCTGTGCCGTTGCCACAATGCTTTGTCGTGTATGGTAGTCATAGTAGGTAGGTAGTCAACATACAGTGACGCCACTAGTGAAGACACTTTCTATGGTGTTGCGGTAAAAGTTCACGAGTAGCTGTTTCCCCATACCGCAATTTTTTAGGCACCGCAGAACCTGAAGGACCTGTTGTGCCTTTTTCAGGCTGGGCTTTGTGTTCTGAGACCAAGCCATGCTGGCCAAGATCTGCAATCCAAGTCTCCACTGTTGTGCCCTCAATGCTGACTGGGGTGTGACTCTCCCTGGGTCTCCTGAAGTCTACAATGAGTTCTTTAGTTTTTTTGTCTTGTTGACAACAATTTGACCCTGAACGTCAGGGCAACATCTTGTAAGATGATCCACCTCACTCTTATGAGCTGACTCATCATTGTTACCGATCAGCTCAATAACTGTGGTGTCATCAGCGAATTTGATAATATGGTTACTGCTGGTGAAAAGGGAATATATCCTAAGACTGAGACAGCAGCCTTGGGGAGCTCCAGCGTATAGGATCACTGTGGAGGAGATATTGTTGCCAGTTTTCATCATCTGAGGTCTGCCCGTCAGGAAATCCATTATCCAGTTGCAGATAGGGGTGCATAAGCTCATATTCCTGAGTTATGGGATCATTGTGGTGTGAACAACTGTGTTAATAGCTGAGCTGCAATATATAAACAGTATCCTAACTTAGGTTCCCCACCTGTCTAAATGTTCGAGGGTATTATGTAGTGCTGGAGAAATGGCATCATCAGCTGACCTGTTTGAACACTAAGCAAACTGAAGTGTGTCAAGGGAGTCCGCAATTTGTATTAGACAACACGAGACTTTCCAGGCACTTCATGACCACTGAATTGAGTGGCACTAGGCGGTAATGGTCCCATGTTTTTCTTGAGCAGTGAAACACCTCACCTGGCTTCAGGACTTTGCTCTTTTACCCTGGAACTTTTGTGGACGACCCTAGAACTTGTATGTTGCTCATACTGTATGCCATCATCTGTATGTAAAGTTATTCATTGTATTGTACTCTGTTGGTGAGGCAGGCAGTAATCATTTACTGATCTTTCTAGTAGGTGTGATTGCAGAGCAGAAGGCAGATCACCCACTACTGTCTCATCTGGATTGAAGTGCAACATTTTTCTTTACAACATCCAATCAAAATCTAGGTCTTTCCTAAGGATGGGATCAGACCAGTCTTTTTTTAAAAGATCTGGAGTATTTTTTTCCTGGTGCAAAGGAAGGTTTGATCTTATATAGATTAGTGATTTAAGTTGTTTAACGCCATGAAAATGAGCACCAATTAAACCTGGATCTACTGTATATTAGGCTCCTTGGACTCCTTTTGATGGATCCCAATTGGTGTTGCAAGAGTTGTGTTCGTGCATCTATTTACAGAGATGTTACCTGCTGCAGTTTTTGTAAATGTCGTTCATTGCTTGCATGATAAGATTACTATGCTGCCCTTTGTAAATTGATCTAAGACTAAGTAGACGTTAAGTAGAGCTGAGCTTTCTTTCAATTTTACTATGGATGTGGTTGTGTCCTAATTTATTTCACAAAGTTATAAGGGAACTGCTGCTACTTGTTTAATTGTGTATTACCATTGACAAACTAACATGGTCTAGAATTTACTTTGTTTCTTTTGAACACCATGTAACACAGATTCTGTCCTGCAGATAAAATATCCCAATGAATGGGCATTATTTGCTCTTTCAAACTGTGCTGTGTATTTATTCATCTCTTCTTGCATTGTATACAGGACTTTAATTCTTTGAAAACCTGTCCATTGTCAATTTCCAATGTGATAGCGCAATCAATGGGATTTACTACAGGACTGCTTGATTCAAAGCAGACCTAAAGATAGTAGCTGCAGGAAACAAAAGTTATATTCATTTAGTTTCAGGTTTGATTTTTGTTCATCTGGTGGTTCTTTTTCTGATTGTTTTCTAATTGTGTAAGTAAGGCATCTTCGGCAACCTGATTCTTTCAGTTTGCTAGTTCTGATCATGAACCTCTTTCCTGAAATGTGATGCTTTCCCCAGTTTTTTTTCCCTAATTGTGTTTTCTGCCAATATGCTGGATATTCCTCAGGATGCGTACTGTGTTTCAAATGTATTATTTCCTCATATTGATTTTCATCCCTTTGTAAATTTGAGGCTCAATATATTATTGAGAACACAGCACCATGAAGAGATCCTCGTGTATTAAAGAATGAATTTTCCTTTCTTCAGTTTTAGGTAAGCATAATAATGCTGTGATATTTTGCAATAGCAGGAACTAGGTGATTTGCAGCAAAAGCTATTTTTGCCAACTTGAAGTCCCATGTTTCATAAAGATGTAGCATGAATGAATTTGGTCTGAAAGTCTAGTTTACACTATAAAGATTAATGTTGCCACACATATCCAGTCATAAAATAAACATTTTGCAACTGAAAATGTGTGGCAACATTAATAAACATAAAATAAACATTTTGTAACGGGACACGTGTGGCAACATTAATCTTTCATAATAAACATTTTGTAACTCCAGAAAGGAACTCACCAGAAAGACATCAGTAGCCAAGATTATCGTTATACTTGGCTCACAATTTCTCTCTTATCTCAATAACAAACTAATTTCTTTCATTTACAGGTTTCAGGTTTTCACAAATCCCCCCTAAATTTGTCTTTGGATGCTCTTTCTTATCTGCTCTGTGCCCATTTTCACTTACTCTGATTTTAGTTTTCCAATGCTTCACATTCCTGACACTCATACTACACAACTGCCAATGTTAATCTTTACTATCTTCACAACAAAATCTACTTAAATCTCGATTAATTGACCTTACTTGATATGATTAAGCATGCTTTAAGTTTCATTACTTGGTTTTTGATATTCTACACTGGAATATATATATATATTTCTCTGTAGGGTGAATGACTAATAAACTCTGAAAAGATATCACTAATATACAGGTTCCGTTTATAAAATAACTTGAAGAATAATAGTGTGAATTTTTTCAGTTAGAACTGTGTGTGTGTTTATATGGAAAGGTTGCTCTCAAGGAAACTCCATAATCCTAGTAGTTGTTTCTTGTAAGAGATATGTGTGTTTTATTGGCCACAGTAAGTTAAAAAAGCAAAGCATCTGTCTTTGGCTTTTAACACTGACTTTATATGCACAAATGTATAATAAGAATCTGTTTAGACAGTTCCATTTCCTCACTTTGGGCCACAGATAGAAGTAATTAACATTAATTCCCATAAATCATCTGTCTGCATATATTTTTAAAAGGTTTCCCCACATTATGAAACCTGCTAAAAAAGCAATACTCTGTATCTGATAAAATTGTGTTTTTTGGCGCTATTGTAATGTTGAGAAAGAATGTAACAAAGTAATTTGAATTTAAGAAAAATGTTAATACATCTCAACTAAAGACCACCAGGGAGACTTGTAAAACTGACGAAACAAGATTTGTTTCTTGCAAAAACTCTTACGTGGTTGTATTTTTTCATGCTTAGAATTACTTTAACTAATTAAGTATTAAATAGCAAAAATACAATACATTTTGTGATCTGAACTGCTATTGTTGCTTTACAGTTAAACAGTTAGTATTCAGGAGAGTTTATTTTACATAAAACATCTCTCTGAACGGGAATAGGGTGCATTCTCAGATTTGGTCCTTAGATTATGTCTTCTATGACAATTTCAAAAATAGGTTGTTTTAGTAGACATTGTCAATAATACTTGGTAATACTTGATTTTGTCAGGTGGGGGGGGGGGATTTTGCAAATTGCCTTTTTTTTTCTTCATTCAGAAAAAGATGGTGCAGTTGCTTCAAAATCATATTTCAACTAAACACTTGTGTGAGGATTAATGTAGTTTTGAGTTACACTACAGATTCTAGCGTCCTCGATTTTATAAACAACCTTTACAACGGAAACAAAATCATGGAGGCAGGGAATCCTGGGATACAAGTTTGAATTTCGAGAGGGAGGGGTTTCTGTGATGATGTAATTGAAAATTGCTTTATAAAGTCGTCACGTCCGCAGCTGTCTCAGCCATTTTGTTCCTTTCCAGAAGAGTGGATGTATATCGCGAAACTTCGGCTCTAGCGGCAGCTGGTGGTAGTGCGTCACCGAAGAGGGTCAGGAACCAAGCCAAAAAAATCAAATGGAGGAGGAAAAAGTTGTGTTCTCAAGATCTAGAAATTCACTCCTTGGAGAGACTGGTGCGCTGGAAGAAGCCTTTAAACTTTTCATTCCTCCCATCAAGGACTTTATAGCTAATTCCGAGGACGAAATATGGGATTTTCTTTGCAGCTTGAGGCACGAAGGCTTTTCTCCTGTTATTCTGAGGAGTAAGGATGTGTACGGGTATTCATCCTGCCGATCGGTCGTGCCGGATAAGAGGAAGGGTGAAGGCGAAAGTACTTCGAAAGTTGTTTCCAAGAAGCCCAAGGCTGTAGGACGACGCGTGAAGAGGAAGCGGGGCAGAAAACCATGGACATCGAGCAAAAATAGGAAGAAGACCGGGTCTGGGTCGCGGACACGAAACTCGCAGGGCACAGCTGGCGTGCACCCCTGTCAGATGAAAGATCTGGAGGAAATCTGGAGGGCAGCAACTCCTCAGTTGATTTCTGTCCGGTCGGTGACGCTGGAAGAGCTCTCTTCGGGAGATGACATACCTGCGGCGAGACGCAAAGCTGAGAAACTGATGAATGTGAATCTCACTCCCGTCCTCAGGCTCAGGCGCTTGGTTATGCCGATGTAACATGAATTCTGAAACCGGAATGGCTGCTATTACGACAAAACTGCACTTTAAACGGAATTCTTCCTGAAACTTTACCTTAATATTGTATTACCTTATGTAATTCCCTGGGAAAATAAGAAGCAATGGAAAGCACAAAAAAGTGAATTCCTAATGCTGCAAACTTGTAAAAAAACGCTTTTTTCCCTCATGTGTGAAAGGACGTTTTTCTTAACTTCTGGAAAGGCTTAAATAGTTAAGTCTGAATTTAACTTGTATTTTAATTCTTATGCCAAAATGGTAATTACCAGCTACGTTTTTGAAGTCACCAGCTCACGAGACAGTTTGTCCATTTCTACATGGTTTTTACTGATGTACAAAACAATTTTTGAGTGACATACTTTCTACTATATCTTGGAACTCTGTCCACGAACCAGCAGTGTGAACCCCGATGGGTTCAAATCTAAACTATACGTGTAGGAGTGGAAGGCAACCGAGGGCAAGAACTTTTTGTTCTGAACTTCGGCTGCGTTATCTTTATTCAGGGGTCGAGTAGTGTGCGAACGCAATCAACTCCGCGTCACCCTCTACGTCACTGTCGCCGGAACAAAATTACAGAAGTCACTAAGAGGCGTGGATGGACAGATATATTGTCACCATGTCGGCACAGCATGTCAGTATGGCGTTTGATGTATTCGCACGTCTAAACTGTGATAGGCTTCAGTCGAAGTGCACACTTTTAACCTAGTTTAGTTGTTGCAGCCAACAAGACTGAGTTCTTTCATAAATGGTAGTTTTTTTTCCTCAAGTGATATAGTGTCTTATTTATTGTTCTATATGTCTCTGTAAACACTCTAGAATTTTGTGTCGTTTTATTTAAAGCATTTGTCAAGTTTAAAGTACAAGTTTTTTTGGGGGGGAAATGAGATCTCGAGTAATGTAGCAGGTATAGTGCAACTTTGTGGAATCGTTGATATTTATTTTGATTTGAATAACTTATGGAACCACATCCTGCAGCTGCCAAATTGGACACATGATTGCGTTTCCCCTTTATTTCGGAATGTAGCCATAATGCAAATAATGGTGTAAATGAAGGGGAAGGTGAGCAGGTTTTTTTATTGAAATCCTGGCATTGATGTCACAGCACTCATTTTTTTTTATAACCCCGTATGTTTAAATAACTCCACGAAGTTCCTGTCGGTCTTCATTCATCTCCCACCTTCCAAAGATGTGCTGGCTGTCTTAGAATTTTTGTCTCTAAATAGTCCATTTGGGCCGGGTAATGGTCTGGCATCCCACCCGAGGCGTAGACCCACTTCACGCCTGTGCTTCCGCTAATGGCTGTGGGTTGCTGTGACCCTTCCCAGGAATAACAATGGTTTCTGAGAGTGGATATCTGGGCAAGGCTCAGCTAAGGCCAAGCTAAAAAAAAAAAATCCAGTTTTCCATTGTCTGCTTGGTGGTTTGAAAACCTTACTGGATGTAAAGAATGTATATATAATTTGCCATTTTGACGGAAACGACTGCACTCTGTATTTTTAATGCAAGAAAATCCTACAAAAAGTACAGATGGGTGTTTAACTGTATCTATTATAGATACAGCAACTGAACACGCAGCACAGAAGTGAGCAGATGCTTAGCAATGTTTGGGGAGGCTGACGAAGATACACAGGGCTGGCCTTGATTCCATGGACACGATGGACTGTTTGGAAACGATTAACATTTTAGCGGTGGTGGTACAACAGGGTTCTGCAACTTCTCGTATGCAATGTTAAAAGGGCTTTCTGAAAATGTCTTATTTATGCTTTGATCTCTTCGTTCTTTTTATATTATTTGATATGCTTTGGATTTTTTTTTTGTACGTGGTCTGAACTGGAATCTTATCTTTGAAATAAACTATTCTGTAAATTGTACGAATGTGTTGTCCTTTCCGTTTTCCTCCTGTGTGTGTATATATATACTGGTTTTGATTGTTTTACCAACAGCTTCCGGTTTTGGCTTCAAAATCCATACTTTTGCCAAATTCAACAGCAATATGTAAAAAGAACTTGCTTTCCCCGTGGCTAATGATGTATTGTTTTCAAGCCATAATGAGGCGGACTTTTCAGAAGCTGGCAACGGGAGAGTACACGTTGCTGGGGACAGTTAAACAGCAGATGGCAATATTGTTCAGTTCATTCCGACATGCTCCATTAAAACGGAGATCGCAGGAGCAGTTGCGTATTTGGGGGTATAATAAATTTGAACGCCATCTTGGAAAGGAGAGCGAAAAGATAGTTGGTAGCGGCTGCATTGTGATGTCGAGCTAAAACAAAGACGCGTTCGCACAGGTTTTAGTTCTAATAATCATGCAACGAGTCCCAATAATAACTTGAGATGTTTAGAAATTTCGTTTTTGTTAAAGTTTGTTCAAACCAACAGTATTGGCGTGTAAAAAGCTTAATGCTTTCTCGTGTTTATGCAAGACTTTTAATCTCTATCTCAAAACGCTTGACATAGTAGAGTACTTCACCCACTGCAGACATAACATCACCGATTGAATTAAAGGGGGATTATAGTACCAGAGTGTGGCAGGTTTGTTTTCAAGTTCATTTTTTTTTATGAGTGGGTACAGTATTTAGGTAGATTAATAATTAAAATAACTTTAACCTGACACCGAATAGTCTTGGGTGTTCCTGTCCCTCAACGGCCAAGTCTTTGATAGTTAGCCCCAGAAAGTGGTATTTTCACAAGGCTCAAGTTATGCTAAGAAAGACACCCGTTAACCTATCTTGCATGTCTTTATAGTGTGCTAGGAAACAGTTGCATCCAGGGAAACAGACGAAGGTCGCATTAACAACATGCAGACTCCACGCAGATGATAACTCGGTCCGGAATGGAATCCAGGAGCTGTGAGGCAACAGTGGTAACTTAACACCCGAGTGATATTCTGTCCTCTGGTAACCTATAATTAGAAATATTGTGGGCTATATCACCTGATTGGAATAGGCGTGTTGCAGCCACTGTAGTTAAATATTTAATTTTATTCGGAAAAAATTAAACGGATATTTTGGTCGACAGCCTAAACTAGATAAATGGTTCCTAAAGTACGGTACCAGTAATTATGTCTCAGGTCAGGAATTTACTTACACTCAAGAGCATAACACTGAGACCGTAACTGCCACTGCAATAATCTAAATCCAACAGAAATGCCTGGCAGGATCTCAAGGGATTCTTATGGCGAAGTGCGAGTAGGGAATGAGGTTGAAATGAGAATACACGACAACAAGCACGGCAGGTCGCGTTTGCCACGTCTCAGCAATTTAGTGATAAGATGAGAGAAGAAAATGAAGAAGATTCAATAAAATATCGGTATTCACCAAATACTTAGGAGTTTATGATAAGATTTTTTGTTAATTAATTCGGCGCTGTGCTGAAGTCCTTAAATCCTGGGTCAGCAAAATTTTGCAATTAACAAGTGTCAATAATTCTAGGAGCTCTGGCACAGTACATAATAGAACCACTGTCGTTCCGCACTGTGACCCCTGATACACTAAGTGGCGTCCAGTCTGTTACACACACAGTATCAGTGCGCTGACAGATCTACAAGGGGATATGGCCAAGTGGATTAAGAAAATGCCCCCCCCCCCCCCTTGGTTATATTTTACTGTGAGCTTCCAGTCAAGATAGCCATTCTTATCTTCATTAATTTACTTCTAAAAGGAATGATATTGAGAGTATGGGATACCTTCTTCAACGCATGGAAGTCATCAATGATAAAACTTTTTGCGTCCTGTACAGCGGTTCAGGGTTGTTATTCTCTGGTAAGGGACTACAAACATCCTGGCTTTTCACAAATGAGAGCGGACGCAGAGCGACCAATAAGATCCGAACATGTTGTTGCAAATGTTACAAAGAGAAATGAAACAGGAATTGAAGGGGAGGGGTGAAGCACGTACGCAGCCACATTGAATAAAAAAACACTTGTTCTCAGTTCCATCAGTATAAATGCCGAATACCAACCTGGCTGCCAGCCGCGCTGTACAGGGTGTCCGTATTTTACTTGATGAGAGGTAAGATGTATTTTCAGCTTTACTTGTGAGGTGTTTAGTCTGACTGAATGATACCGTTGCTTTTCTAATTCGACCACCACCAATAGTCCAAGTCTGAATTATTTTGCTCTGTAAGAGATTTTCTCCAAAGCACGCTCTGCCCCAAATTCTTGAAGTTTACTAAGTAGCTTAATTTGTGTATTTTCCTAAATACTCGAAACTGTGTGTTGGTGAGAGATGTTTATGTGCTGACATTTTGTAATTTACGTCCCGTTTCAGAGAAGTGAGGTTGTACAGTAATTATGGATTACTTTTTAAAGTACCGGGACTGCAATTTAAGGCAATTATCTCAAAAGTCAGATTTTATTTTTTGAACACAAATCAGAGTTTACAACATTTTAAAATTATTTATAAATGCTGACGAAATACTGCTTTTCACGCTTCCTGACTTGCAAGACTTCCTGTACTGTACCCGAAGAGAATGAAGAAGTATAGGCAGTATTAACCCAGCCTTTATCCTCTACTATATAATTTACAAATTGGTTATACATGACCTATATATAACCACTAGCAGTATAGAAAGAGGTCTGGCATGTACAGTAAATAGACATCGAAAGAACACCTGCTTTTTCAAGAGTCACGAAAAGTACTGTCAAAGTTAACAGTTAACTTTATTGAAGACATAAGATGTAAACTAGTAATCCTGGGGTTCGGAGCTGCTGTTCCTCCCTGGCTCCTTCTTTACTGAGAAGCCCCACATGGTTGGTATATGCATACCTTCCTTTTCTGGTCAGAGGCAGTTACAGTATATTCCTGGACTCTTCCCTGTTCAGAAAGCCTGTCTAACTGGCTACTACGGTATGTTACAATGTTTCCTCTCTGCTATATTGAAGAACAAAAATCCTGCTGTTTTTAAATGCTGTTGTCATTTAAATAGCTTAAGGTGAAAAAAAATAAGCAAAAGACAGTGCACCTTTTAGAACTAACCAAACCGATGTCCACTTGCATTTAGTCTATGGACACTATGAACACTGCTTTTTTAATATAGATGTATTAAATCGAGACCTTTTTATACAAATGGTTGAGTTTGTATAAAAAAATTTAGGCAGGCCCCTTCTTTTTGTAACTTGTCTTAAGATCTTATCTTCTTAACAGCTTTTGTAGCATCAATTTGTGAGTGTCAGGTGAATGTTTGACCTCAATATACCCTGAGACAAATAGCACAATTCACTTTCAGATGTTCAAATGACAGCACAATCAAAATGTATTAGAACTTAAGAAAACCTGCAAACAAACGGAAGCCATTTGGTTCATCTACCCATCGATCTGTCTAAAATTCAAAATTAGTTTGGATTTTAGTAACTAATTGATCCTAGAATCTCAGTCAGCCATTTCTTGGAAGATGTCAGGAAGATTTATTTTAGAAAATATCTTACTCGTGTTGTATTTAACCTGAATCTAGGACCATGTCTTGGTATGTATATTTGAAGAGTGTTTCCAGATTGCATTTTTGCATAATTTGAAGTTAAGCATGTTCGTTTTGCTTCCATTGGCTGCAGCAATAATATACTGTACGGTGGAAAGTATCTCACACTGTATGTAATGGCTGCTAATAAGCAAAGGGAAAATTATACTGAAAAAGAAAAAAACACCACTCATAAACATAGAAGAGCAAACTGGAAAAAATATAATTCTTCCATGAGATCATTGGTTTTACAAGCAAGCCATTTGCTGGAGTCAACATTCAGGAAATCTGTCATATGTAAGAGACTCCAGTCATTGGTTCCTTACCGGGTTAATGCTTATTAGTCCCATAATCATCTGTTCATGTACTTTCCAGATTGGACTGGTTATGGAACAGCGTGAAGATGTTGAACTGCCTGTAGTTTTTAGAGACGAGAGTACGAGAAGAAGGAGGAAGATGAAAGCTTTTACTTCAAATTCTTTAGTCACAATGGATCAAATAACCATTGAGTTCGTATTACCCACTTCCAACAAATTTAATAAAACACCAGAGGTCATCCTTGTTGATGTTGCAGGGAATTGCACAGTCGAGCAGGTTAAAACCCAAGTGTGGATGAAAGCAGTTGCAGCAAACCTGTGTCCTGAGTTTTATCAGAAGTACTCCCCCGATCAGTGCATTCTGCGTTATCAAAAAAAAGGACACTGGTACGAGATTTATGACAAACATCAGGTATTTCAGACCTTGGACTGTATACGCTACTGGAAAGCACTGAAAAAAGATCAAGGGAGAATACATTTGGCTTCCAGACCACAGCCAACTGACAAATCCCAGCAGTACCAGAGGTACCTGAATTATCTGATTGGGTACGATGTCACTGATGTGAGCAATGTGCACGATGATGAGCTTGAATTCACTCGAAGAAAGTTACTGACCCCACGAATGATTGAATTGGCAGAACGGGACCCAAAGCTTTATTCAATGGATCCTTGGATCACATCAAAACCCCTTCCAGAGTACCTTCTTAACAAGATAAGCAACAATCATATCTTAGTAGTTATTCACAGGCATACATCCAGTCAGACCATAAAGGTGTCTATCGATGACAAACCCCTGCAGATTCTGCAGAGTTTTTTCACCAAGATAGCAAAAAAGAGATCACTGCTTGGTATCCCAGAAGAGGTTAGTGAGCAGGATTTTGTCTTGAGGGTCTGTGGCCGAGAAGAGTACATTTTTGGTAACCATGCTATAAAGGACTTTCACTGGGTGAGGCAGTGTCTGAAAAATGCCGAAGAGATCCACCTGGTCTTGGAATCTGCACCAAACCCAGACCAAGACGTTGTTCATAAGGAGGACTGGTCACTCGTAGATGATTGTACAGGGGTCGCTGGCTCTCACGAGCAGCTAACGATAGTTGAAAAAGACCACGAGAAAGTGTTTACTATTTCTATGTGGGACTGCAACAGAAACTTTCGAGTCAAGGTCGTAGGCATAGATATCCCCACCCTCCCGCGTAATTCTGAGCTGATTGTGTTTGTGGAAGCCAGTATTTTCCATGGGCAGCAGCTTCTAGCTCAAGATCGAACGTCTTCCAAGCCATTTACAGAAGAAGTCCTTTGGAATACCTGGCTGGAGTTTAATATCAAGATTAAGGATCTGCCCAAAGGGGCTCGGCTAAGCCTCCAAGTGTTCTGTGGGAAAGCTCAAACTCAGACCGGGAAGGCTGGCTTTCAGGAAAGTGTCAACTATGACTCCAAGTGCAAGAACCGGTTGCTATACTATGTCAACCTCTTGCTGATAGACCACCGTTCACTGCTGAGGCAAGGCGAGTACATCCTCCACATGTGGAAGGTGCCAGAGAAGAGCGAAGATCACAGCAGCATCAACGCAGACAAGCTCACCTCGGCCACCAACCCTGACAAAGACAACTCCATGGCTATAGTCATCCTGTTGGACAAGTACTGCTACCCCATTGCTCTGCCGAAAGGTCAAGACTCAGTGGAGACGGAGGGCGAGAGGGGAAGGAGGGAGATGCCCAACCACCTGCGCAAGCAGTTCGAGGAGATCGTCGTGACTGACCCCCTGCACCCGCTGAGCCCGGAGGACAAGGAGCTGCTCTGGCATTTCAAGCAGGAATGCATGAGATTCCCGAGGGCGTACCCCAAGTTTCTCAGCTCGGTGAAGTGGGGGAAACAGGAGGCGGTCTTAGCCACGCACCAGCTGCTTGAAAAGCACGACACCTGGGATCGCAGTCCCCTGGACGTGGGGCTTGCCATGCAAATGCTGGACTGCAACTTCTCTGATGCCAACGTCCGCACCATGGCCGTGAGAAAGCTGGAGACCCTGGGGGACGATGATGTACTGCGGTACCTCCTGCAGCTTGTGCAGGTAGAGTCTCCTGCTGGTTCCATGCAGTTTCAGTTAATATTTGCATGCGGCTGGGATCATTTGTGAATCATGTGAAAACCTCTTCAGAGGGAAACAAAGAACTTTTGATTTAGTATTTAAATCAGCTCTTGATGTTGAGAGAAATTTCGCATCAAGGTGTGAGCAGGCTTTTCATACTGTATAATAATTTAAAGACTTGAACAACGCATCATGGATGTAAGAATAAAGTGGTCAATAGGTTTTTTGAATGTTGTTCTAGAATATGCTGTGTTATTTCACTATTGTGAACACACTGTTTTACTAGCAGGATGTTAACGTTAATATTTCACTCTATTTTAGATTCTACACATGCCAGTTAGAAAGAAAACAGTGTTACTCTGTTCAGTGTTTCTCGTACATATTGAACACAGAAATTATTTATTGTATACATCTCACACACAAGTCCCTATGTTTTAAAATATTATATTATAGTTTACCATCTTGATTTTTTTCCCAATACAATTCATTAACTTCTTCAAGCGAAAAGTAAAATCATTTCTGGAAGAAACTCAAATCATTGTGATATACCAAAGATATCAGTAGTTACTGTATATCTGGTCCATCATGACTTTGCTCTTTATTTATTTTGTCCTGTTTTTGTTGTCCTTTTCTGTTGATTTGTCTTTTTCAGGCTGTGAAGTTTGAACCATATCACGACAGCGCCCTGGCTCGGTTCTTACTGAAACGTGCTCTGAGAGTGAGTAACCTCAAAAGACCTGAGGGTATACTTAACCCCTAGTTCACTGGGTACGTTTAGTAATAAATATCCTGACATGCTTCTTCTTCCAACAGAGCAAAAGAATTGGTCACTTTTTATTCTGGTTTCTGAGAAGCGAGATTGCTCAGTCCATGCACTATCAGCAGAGGTATGCTGTCATTCTGGAGGCCTACTTGCGTGGCTGTGGAGAAGCCATGCTGCAGGACTTCAGGAAGCAAGTGGAAATCACAGAGGCCCTTCAGAAAGTCACCAGGGAAATAAAAACTATGTCAGCCGACAAATACGATGTTTCAGTACAAGGTATTTTCTAAACAAAGTGTGTTAACAGGAAGTTCGCTCAATTAAGAAGAAAACGAAAAATGTCCAGAAAAGTATTCATTTATTTGTATTTCCCATTAAGAAAACTGTATTTAGTACAAAAAAGTATTTCCTCATTTGTATTTCCCATTAGGAGATCTATATCTGCAATCTGACAGATGTTTAAATGTAAGATCATTTTTCAGAAACTTTAAGATGGGCGTTTTCATTTGATCTTTTTTCTTATGAACGAAAATTAAATTATGTTATTTTACAAATTCTGGGTGTCCTCCATAGTAATGTAAAATGAAATGTAAGTGCTTAAATTTGCTAACAGGTAAAGTTTGTTGAATAACTCCGGTAGGTATCAGAATAATATTTAAAATGTACACAATTTTCAATAATAAAAAATATTTCTGTAAATATTATAGGATATTATTAGTGTATAAACCTAATTCCTAATATGAATTGATAAATTACTAAGAGATGGCAGGCAAGGTCAGTGAATAGTATTAACACTGTTCACCAAGAAACTTTTTTATTTTGGAGTTTCCATTTTGGTTAATTACTGATATGCCTTGGAATTTGCATGTTGCAGTACAGCACGCTTCTTGGATAAAACCCGGAAATGATGAAAAATGATAAATAATGTGATTTGTCTCGTTGCTTGCAGCAGCTGTCGAGTTCTTATTCCAATCCCATGTGTTTAAATTGGCATTTCCAGTTGTCTTTCAGCTGCGACAGAAGCTCGAAAACTTGCAGTCGTCAGGTCTTCCGGGGAGCTTCAGAGTTCCCTACGACCCCGGACTGAGAGCTGGAGCGCTCGTGGTAACTGGGCCTCGCCTTTCCCCACTCCTCTTCTCTGTAGCTGCAGTGGCTCGCTGCGCAGTTCCGCCTAACCCCTGCCTCTTTCAGGTGGAGCAGTGCAAGGTCATGGCTTCAAAGAAGAAGCCTCTGTGGCTGCAGTTCAAGCGCGCCGACCCTACCACCTTGTCCAGTGACACCATTGGGATAATCTTTAAAGACGGGGATGACCTACGACAGGACATGCTTATTTTACAGGTACAACTGCCGTTGGCGTTAGGAAGCAGAGCTCAAAACGTACTAGCGATTTGGGAAATGTCATCAAGCTAAACCTTTGAATTTCTCACAACCCTCCCCTAGAGGGTGCCCCACCTTTCTGCCCTATTCCTGGCCTCCCTGTGCCTTTTCTTGTGCTTCTGGTTCGTCTGGTGGTGGTGTGCTATTTACTGTATTGCCAGACTGCCCTGTCTTCCTCGCTTGGCATTGGGATCAGATGTTGTGAGACTGCCTCCGGCTTCAGTGACAGAATTACTCATTCTGAAATTAAAATAAAGGTCATCGTGAAAAGAATTTCAATTGGAAACACCTTTATTACAATTTTCAGGGCAGTTTTGGTCATGCCTAAACTGAACTTAAAATATTATTTGTTGTACAATTAGATTCTTCTGATAATGGAGTCTATATGGGAAACAGAATCTCTGGACCTGTCTTTGCTACCATATGGCTGCATTTCTACTGGAAATAAGATAGGTAAGTGCTTCTGTTAATCATAGATTAATTATCCAGAATATTTAATGATGTGGTGGTTGAGTGGTTAGCATTGCTGTCTCACAGTCCTAGGGCACTGGGTTTGATTCCTTGGGTTGAGTTTGCATGTTCTCCTCATGTTAACTTGTTCTGGGTGCTCCTGATTCCTCCCATAGTCCAAAGACATGCTGGTAAGTTAATTAGCTTCTTGGAAAATTGGCCTGTGTGTCTGTGTGTCCTGCGATGGACTGGCATCCCATCCAGGGTGTATCCTGCCCTGCATCCATTGCTGTTGAGTTAGACTACGGCTTCCCCCACAGCCCTGTGCTAGATAACATGGTTTAGAAAATGGATAGGTAGATCAAAACCAGATTCAATTCTCTTTCAGAAATTTCTTACAATAAGAGTGTTTGCCTATACAAAGCAGTCTATTTTATTTTCTGGCCAAAGTTAAGGAGATTCCAACGTTCGCAAGAAGATGAATATGTTTTAAAGCAACATCTGAACTGTAAAATCAAGAATGAGTTTTAATTAGTGCATTAAAACAATCTTTGTGATGTTACAGCATTTGATTGGGAGTGTGAGTTGTGAGAAGAAACAGAGAGGCACTGATTTTCCCTGTGGACAAAAGGCAGGCAATTTGCCCATCTAATTCATTAGTGTGGTTTAGGCAATGTGCCCAGAGCCCTTAAGACTTGTTTTAGTGTATATTCTTTCCACCACCAAGACCCGAAATGTATTTTAGAGCTGCTTGGTCACAGAGATCAGCCTAGAGAAGCACTCAGTGTTTACAAGTGTTGCTTTGCTTTCTGTACTTCCAGGGATGATTGAAATAGTGAAAGATGCCACAACCATTGCTAATATTCAGCAGAGTACAGTTGGCAACACTGGAGCATTTAAAGATGAAATTCTGAACCAGTGGCTGCGAGAAAGATGTCTGAATGAAGACAAGGTACACTTCTGTTCTTCTGCATTAACGTTCGCGTGCCACTCAGTTTGGGTTTGACGTTACTGCTGGGTAAGGAGACAGCAAAGATGGGACCTTGATAAAGCACAGAGAACTGTGGTGGCTTGGTATCCTGATGGTCAGTACAGGCCGGTGGACGGACTGATTGCGCCACAGGAGAAAGTGTAAAAGTGTGGCAGCTCACTTTATTTTAATTAAACAGCGCAAGAAAATAAAGTTAAGACAGGAGGAAAGAGGTTTCTTTATCCCTTCGGTTGCTTCAGTAAGTGGCTTTTCTCTGTCCTGCTGTGGGGCTATTTTGCCTGTCAACACCCACCTCACACACCTGCTGAAGGCAGCTCCCATTTATACAGAGGAGCAGCAGATGTCCGCTATCACGGTAGTAACTACTGGCAGCTGAGTCTTCTTTCGATGGCCACCAAGCTGACAGCCTGTCGCAATCACATTCCAAAACTCTGATGCATAAGACTTGCATCGACATGACACCGAATAATAATAATCCTTACACTAAGGGTTTCACTAAAATAAGTTGCTTACACTTATATACCACTTTTCTGGACACTCCACTCAAAGCGCTTTACAGGTAATGGGGACTCCCCCACCCGGATGATGTGACAGTAGCCATAGTGCGCCAGAACGCTCACCATATATCAGCTATCAGTGGGAATGAGAACAGAATGATTGAGCCAATTCATAGATGGGGATTTTTAGGAGGCCTTGACTCAAAAGGCCGGTGGGAAATTTAGCCAAGACACCAGGGTTAACACCCCTTCTCTTTTCGAGAAACGCTCTGGGATTTTTAATGACCATGGAGACTCAGGACCTCGGTTTTACATCTCATCTGAAAAGACAGAGCCTTTTTACAATGTAGTGTCCCCATCACTATACCGGGGCATTAGGACCCACACAGACCGCAGGGTGAGCACCCCCTACTGGCCCCACTAACACCTCTTCCACCAGCAACCTTAGCTTTCCCATCCAGGTACTGACCAGGCTCACACCTGCTTAGCTTCAGTGGGTCGGCAGTTGTGAGTGGCAGGGCGATATAGCTGCTGGTTACAGTGAGTCTTTTGTAGTGGGTAAACACAGGAGCTGTGGAAGAAAATATATTAATAACTTTGGGTATGGGATTGTGAGAACACGTCCAGCTTGGGTTTCCCGCTGTCCACGTTGCTTTTATCTTCATGTGAGCCTTTTTTTTCCCCAGGAAGTTCATGGCTGACATTGTTTTTTCTGTCTGGTAGTTTCAGCTGGCTGTGGAGAGGTTTGTTTACTCCTGTGCTGGCTATTGTGTTGCAACCTACGTTTTGGGGATCGGAGACAGGCATAATGACAACATTATGATTACAGAATCGGGTATGTAAACTATGTCTATCTCATCCTCCTCTCTCCATACATAAAAAAACGTCAGAAAGATCAAAGAGAAGCCATTTTACTCATCTTTCTCACATGTTTGTTACGAACTTAATGTTCAAGAAATTCTATCAGGGGGCTTGACAAGAGACCCCGTGGAGTCGTGTTTATAAGTGACTGGAGAGCGGATGCCAGTCTCGTACACTTCTCTGTGAAAAGAAGTGTCCTGAATGTACCTGAGATAAATTTGCACTGCTGTCCCCTGGTTCTTTGTTTTCTTTTTGGTCTTCATGAAGTTGCTGGAGTTGACTTGGTCTGCGCCTTTCAGGAGTTTGCATAACTGAATCTGTGCCCATATAATCTTCTTTGTTGCGGGCTAAAAGGATTCAGTTCTCTTAATCTGCCTGAGTCTGACATTCCCTTCAGACCAGGAATTAGTCTGGTTACAGTCTTTAGCAGTGCCCTTAAAGTGGCAATATGTAACCAGTAATGAGCAGACATGAGCACAATGTTCTTGGAGTGGTCTAACTAAAGAATTATGCAATTGAATTACTCACTTGTAATTATCTAGCCAAACATTTTGTTGGCATTTATCATTGCTTCTCCATAGTACTGTACATAGATGGGCAATTTGGCCAATCAACATAAATGTCTGGATCATGTTTTCATATGTTCCTTCTTACAGTTTGACTTAAAATATACTGTGTTCAACATGAAACAAGTCATGCTTGTAAGCACCAGTTTTAGACAACTAGAGAAGCATGTTACATTTTGAAATATGTAATAATTGTAATTGTCCATTTTGTCTTAACTGGGACACCGGAATTAATCCAAATTTTGAATTTTATTTTAATATTTTTTGTATACTTTGTAAAGATGTGGAATCAAAGGCAGTGCTATGTATAGAATTTGGGGAATCTTGCTCATCATTGACTCTTTCCTGTGTACACTGCTTGTACTCATTTAATCTGTCGTGTAATTAAGAGCAATAATTAAGCATCGAGTGCAGCCCAAACAAATACAATAGAGCATGTTTTACATGATGGAAATCTAATCTCATATTTCTTTTTCTTAACACATTTAGGTAACCTTTTCCATATAGATTTTGGACACATTCTTGGAAATTACAAGAGTTTCCTTGGGATTAGCAAGGAAAGGGTTCCGTTTGTGTTAACACCAGATTTTCTTTATGTCATGGGCACTTTTGGAAAGAAGACTAGTCCTCACTTCCAGAAATTCCAGGTACAGAAATTCTGCTTCATCACAACAATCTGCACTTCTCAATCAAGTTAGCCTACGTTATGTTTAACAATCCTGTTTCACTGAAATTCTTAACAACTGTTGAGGTCTGTAGTTTTGAGGGCAAATTGATTAATTTCTCCAGGCAACATACTATATATCTGGGCTCAGACAGCTTGTATAATTTAAAAGTATGCATTCACAAAAGAAATTGTGTAGCAGTGTATTATCTATATTTACTTTTCTTAATTTGCTTAGTAAGTCTGATTCATGCATTGCAGTATATGTCAGCATTTGAGTTTTGTTTAAATAAACAACACATGTTGTTGTTGGGCACGATTTTATCTGAGAAAATGTTAATATAAAGGTCCAGTTTTATGAAGGCCTAAGCATGTTGCACAAATCAGTTACTTTAAAAATCTGTAAAGAGTTCGGTCTAAAAAGTCATTTTGTTCATTTTCAGTGGTGGATTTTACTATGTGACAACACTGTATTTAATTCATTTAAAACACAATTTTATCCCGCGTTGAAAAGTGAATAATGTTAATGTGTCACTTGTTTTCTTTGACTTTCAGGACGTTTGTGTAAAAGCGTACCTAGCCCTTCGGCATCACACAAATCTCCTGATCATCTTGTTCTCCATGATGCTGATGACCGGAATGCCACAGCTGACCAGTAAAGAGGATATTGAGTACATCCGGGAGGCACTCACCGTGGGCAAGACGGAGGAGGAGGCACAGAAGCACTTTCTGGACCAGATCGAAATCTGCCGGGACAAAGGCTGGACTGTGCAGTTTAACTGGTTTCTGCATCTTGTCCTTGGAATCAAGCAAGGCGTGGAGAAACGCTCAGCTTAGGGTGTTTTGCCGTGGTGCCTATGCACAGCTCTGTGAGTTCCCTGGGTGTAGAGTTAAATCTAATACTGAAGGGAAAACGTCACCTTTCAAACCTAACAAAATCCAGTTACCTTCTATACTGCCTTACTTTTAAAGATTGTATCGCTCTTTCAAAAATCTGAAACAGCAACTCTGCTGCTTGAAAGAGGCCTCTTCTGTTGAGAAATATAGCATTTGAAATCTTGTCAAAGCTTAAGCTTTTGCTTCATTGGCAAAGCAGCAATAGAATTCAGCACAGTGTTAATATTACATCTGGCCTGTGTTAGATACAGACTGTACTGTATTTAGCTTAAATTATGCCAGAGGACAATATGAAACATCAAGAATTTAGTTTTTAAAGAGGTTCTGGATAAGGCTATATCTTCCTTATAAAAATAAGTAAAAGTTTTTTTTGCAGAAATGGAGAGAAACCAAAATGTCATGTTCATGTGTCTTTTCGTGCAAAGTTGTATTTATATTGCATATGTAAAGTATTTTGAATATAGATTGAAATAGTGCCAACATTTTTTTAAGGATAGACCGAGCTTTTGTTTCTCAGTGCACTTAAAAATATTATTCCCACTGGGGAATTGTAATACACCAGAAAGTGATTATATTGTTGGTTGCTTTGTACTTCGAGACAGCATTAGGTTATACACGGTGCAAAGACAAGTGTGCATTTTAAGTGATATCAGTGGTATGGATATTTCAGGGGGCACAGTACACTGGGTGAGAGCCCTTTCCACATGGTTATGATTTTACACTGGACTGGAAAAAGACCCTAGAGGGACAGCTGCTACCCTCATTTCAGGGTAGCAGTTTGCAGTGCCATTAAAAAACGATGACAGGCAACAGTTGTGCACTTACACAAGGGCACTGTGCACAAAGAATGTGGACCATGCACATCCATCCATTGTCAGGAAGCTTCGAATCAGGACCCTAGAGATGTGTGGCAGTGGTGCTAACCACCATGCCTATTTCTAAGTTTAAATTATGCGTTACCTTTCACATTTGCACAAAACTTTCATGCAGCAAACATGAATTCAGATTCAAAACAATTACCAATTAGAATGGCAGAAGGAATATTAAAATGAATAAACCTGAAAAGCTTATACATTTTATAATAACAGAATAAAGACAAACTAGCATACTTTATGCTAACAAAGTCACATTATAGAATTCTTGTTTTTGAAAAGGATAAATAATTTGCATGCTGAAATAAGCCACAAAACCATTTGCCTGTTATTATGTGTAGTGTTGAAAAAATTAGTAAATGGCACAATTGTGCATGCCATGAGTATAGCTCTGCCTTACAGGACTGGATTAAGGTAAAAGTTAACCGCCATCCACCACTCACAAACCAGATACGTACAGCCTGGGCTCCTGTGGGCAGAAGCAAGAAGCTAAATGCAAACATCAGGTATGATTTTCATGATATACATCTGATGTGTGTTTGAAGCTTTAGTTTAAATAAAGGATTAATTTCCAGAACATGGATAAGATTTGACAGGGTTATCAGTTTCTTGGGAGTATGTTCTCATTTTTTTTAAATTGGAGTAAATACTCAGGGTCCTGTCCTAGTTTTTGTGGACCAGGTATAGTACGCTTTTGTGTCTGAGCCTCGGGATTTCAGCTTCAGTAATAATGGATGCCAAGGCTGAAGCAAAGAGCCACTAATTTAAACTGCGTCACTGCACCTTTGTGCTTCGAACTTCCGATCTCATGAGAAGAACTGGATCTAATCAATCTCATCTTTTTTCTGTTGTTTAAGAATAAAAGCAAGGAAATGAAACTGTCCAGACCTTGTCTGATTTCCTGTGTTGATTTAAGTATTATGTCACCTTTCAAGTATATTGTATACACCACTACCACTAAAACTCCAGGAAGCTACAGTTGGACAAAGCAGACCACTTATTTAATGTCTGACTGTTTGTAATGGCTGGGCCTCAGAGGGACATTTTTGCACTGAAGTGCAAACATTGCACTGATGTCACTGGACACAAAAATTAGTATCTACTGTATATTTTTTCTGACTTAATTTACTTTTTCCTTACACATTCAAAAAGATTTAAGAAGTGTTGCATGCAAATATTTTAGACCTTAAAGGAGAAGTTAAAAATCTGATGTTAGCAAACAAGGGGAAGTTATATCTACTGTAGTGTCTGTCTGTGTTGAGGATTGCTTTTCCTATAGACAATTTCTTACCAATTATCTTATTTCTTTATTATGTTTGTTTTTCTTGTTCATTAGTATTCCACCATAAAGGAAATCAGAATTTCCTAAAATACCCAGGACAGCTCTATAGTAATGTTCAGATTATTTAGCCAGAATCTTGTTTCCAAGACAGATCAGAAGAAAGTCTTCCTTCTCCTCTCTGTGTCTTCTCCTATGTTCTCTTTCCCTACATCTTTTACACTTCTATCTCTGTATTTATATTGTGTCTATGGCTGTTGAATGTTTATAATTTATTAAGGTTGAGAAGAGCAAACTACTAGAAACCCCCTTTGATGTTCTTTGTTTGTTGGCCTCTTAGCCCGCCTGCAGCTGGGCAGAAATCTCAAATGAAACCCATTGTTTTAAGTTTTCTAAATAAAGCCTAGAGTAGTGCAATCAGAATGCTATAGACTTTATGGTAACTAATTGGATTGTAAGAATATGAAAAAGAATATTTGCTATGTTGAATAATATTCATCCATTCATCCATATTCTAACTGCTTCATCCAAATTCAGATTCAAGGGTAAGCCAGAACCTATCCTGGACAGGAATGGGCATATGGCGGGCTACACCCTGGATGGGACACTAGTCAATGACAGGTTAGACACAGACAGATACACACTCTCACCAGAAATCAATTAACCTACCAGCACTACCAGCATGATTTTGGACTGTGGGTGGAAACCAAACACCCATAAGAAACCCACACAAGCACTTGGAGAACATAAAAACCGATAAGCCTTTGAAGAGTGTAGCATATTACTGCATTTTGGATCAATAATCAGAATCGCAATTGTAAAACCCTGGACACTGAGCTCTGCAACACTGATGTTTTCAAAAACAATTGCTAACAAGCTGTTAATGTTGGAGACAAGATTTCTGTGGTTGTTATGGTAATTTTTAATGATGTGAGAGAAGAAGGTGGATCTAGCAGACTCTATTGAAACCTTATATTCAGACACGTAATCTCTCCAAGCCCGATAATGTACATTTAGCCCAGAAAGATTCCACCTACGCTCAAGTTTGTGAGAGACTGTCTTCATAGATCGCAGATGGTTGTTATACCAAGGGGCAGGGCGAGAGAAGGAGATGGTTCGAGTTTTTAGAGGACCAAAGGTGTCAAGGGTAGATAAAAGAGCACTGTCAAGTAACTGTATTTTGTCCTCTAGGGGGTCAGAGGAAGAGAAACAAGATAAGGAGGACAGAACAGAATTTGCATACCTTGGCTGATCAACTGATCGCCAGTTGCAGAAATTTACAGAGCGTGAGGGGGAAGTGTTAGAAACAGGTAATTCCAGATTGAAGAGAACAGCTAAGTGGTCAGAGAGGCCTAGTTCAAGGGAAGAGCAGTGGGAGATATTTGAGTCATTTGCAATGATTAAATCTAGGGTGTGTCCTTTGTTATGTGTAGGGTTACAAACTGAGTAAGATCAAAACATACCAGTAGAGAAAGGAAGTCTTTAGCCAGACTGGAAGACCTTGAGTCAATGTGTATATTAAAGTCCCCTAGAATAAAGATCCTTTTAAACTTAAGGCATAAAAATGAGAGGAAATCAGCAAACTCATCTAAGAAGGCTTCACTTTGTTTAGGTGGTCTATAAACTGTGGAAATGATAGTAGATTGGGGGATAGAGACATTTAAAACAAAACACTCAAAAGAAGAGGGAAGAGGTATAGTAATAGACTTAAATGGTAAAAAATGTTATAAATAACAATAATAATAATAATTGCTTACACTTATGTTGTCACACCCTCTGCAGCCAGAGGGCGCTCCTTCTCTGTCCTGTCCCTAGTTTCCGGTCTGCTGTCCTTCCTGTCCCTCTCTTTCCCTTGGGCTATATATTTCCGGGTCTTGCTCTCTGTCCTCGCTCAGCATTGACGTTCGGATGTCCTGAGACCCGCCTAGCACCAGGGCGCCCCACGTCCGCTCCCTGAGGGCATAGGTTTCTATACGGCATTCCTGAATTCTTTGCACTAATGAGCCCGGGCCTTTTTCCTGTCTCGCCGCTGCGCATATGGGTCTTTTTCCGTTCTCCTGATCCCCACGGTTAGTCCCTTTGGACGTCCGTGACATATATAGCACTTTTCTGGACACTCCACTCAAAGCGCTTTATAGGCAATGTGGACTCCCCTCCACCACCACCAATGTGCACCACCTGGATGATGCGACGGCAGCCATAGTGCGCCAGAATGCTCACCACACATCAGCTATCAGTGGGGAGGAGAGCAGAGTAATGAAGCCAATTCATAGATGGGAATTATAAGGAGGCCATGATTTGTAAGAGCCAATGGGAAATTTGGCCAGGACACCGGGGTTACACCCCTACTCTTTTTTTGAGAAACACCCTGGGATTTTTAATGACCACAGAGAGTCAGGACCTCGGTTTTACGTCTCATCCAAAGGAGAGTGCCTATTTACAGTATAGTGTCCTCATCACTATACTGGGGCATTAGGACCCATATGGACCACAGGGTGAGCGCCCCCTGCTGGCCCCACTAACACCTCTTCCATCAGCAACCTTAGTTTTTCCCAGGAGGTCTCCCATCCAGGTACTGACCAGGCTCACACCTGCTGAGCTTCAGTGGGGCTGCCAGTTGTGAGTTGCAGAGTGATATGGCTGCTGACAATTAATGCCCCCTTCTGCCTGAGAGTCACAATGTCACAAATCATGTCACAATTTGTGTGAATTCTCGCTCTATTATGTTGTGAGACCAGGAGTTTGCCAAAAGATGGAAACTTACAGTACTTTCACAAAGTTCACTATTTTGTGCTTAATTCAAATTTTGTTTTTCTATACCATCAATGAATTTATTTGTTAACAAGATTTAATAACCGGTCTGAGAAACTGGGACTGCAGTTCCCCTTTAACTGAAATAAAAACATATTTTCTGGTCTAATTTCTGTGTTTCTTTTGAATCTATTATTACACTGATTTCTGGGAACTGTACTTTGCCAGCTTTTAGGAACGTATAATGTCCAAGTGTAAGACTAAATTAAACCCAAATGTCCCTTCCCTAGGGGATAGGGGATAAGAGGAGAGATTGGAAAGCACCACAGAACAGCAGTGGAGTGAAAATTGCAGCATGTAAAGACCGAGAGGAGACAGGGACGGTAATCACACAGCTAAAAGAGAACTGAAGAGGAGAGGATTGTTCTGACCTCTAATGCCAAGCCATGATAGCCTAATCCACATAAACAATGGGCTGAGGCACACTGGCAGCTTGAAGCCTCAGAAGGCTCCGGAAGACTCTTTAATTTCAGGAGGCTAATCATGTCAGTATGATGAGGACCTGTATTTTCCAAACTGAATCCTAATGTGAATCTTTTATTGTCCCTACCTTTTTTCCGATCTATGGAAAAACCTTGGAACCAGTCCTAAGATGGTTGTGCTTGTGTCAAAGGGTGAAGAAAAATGGGAGAGGGACAACAAGTGTCAGGCACTGTGTTGACTTGAAGTTTAAGGAGGAGTGGTCAGTTTCTCCCTATGGACTGATGCATTTTCACCTTGTGCTTTCAGCGCCCTCCCACTGCTCATACACTTGGTAATTACCACACAGTTCAGAAGTGAAGTGTGGGATTGGGAGACACGTCTAACTTTGTCGCAGCCTGAGGTAGGGGGGGGGGAGGGATATACAATGCATCATTACAGATGGACATCTGCATATAGCAAGCTGATCAATGTGTTCTGTGTCTCATGGCTCTTTGTGTTGGGTGGGCAGTGATAGAAATTGCTGTGTTGTGGGGATGTTTTTGTGTGATGAGTGCACCGTAATAAAAGAGGAAAATATGTAGAATGTTTGCGTTGTCTGGTCTGTGGGTACACTGGTGGTTCTGGGAAATAAAAAGAATCTGTTGCTGGAGAAAAGGGTCCTAGCTCCTTTTAAAATTGCAAGGTAAAAAGTGAAAGCAGTTCCTGCATTTCGAGGTCACCTTTCCATGACAATGTACAACAGGATTTGCAGCCTGTGTTGAAACAGTGGCTATTTAATGTCATAGTATATATAATATACTATTATACTGTTACAAGCTGATAGCTGGATATATTGGTAGTTGACAGTGGAAGTGTCTAAGAATCTAGAAAAAGTGTGTATCACCTGGCAGTGTAAACATTTCAGCTTCAAAGCAGAGGGGATGTTCGCTTAGATGTAGGGGGCCAGTGTCTGTGATCAAAGCGCATCATAAAGTTTACCTTAGTTATTGAAGTTCTGGGTAAATGACTAAGTGTCAATAAACAGTCCAGAAGACAGATCATATCAGATCAGAAGAAGGAAAAATAAGAAGGTCAGACATGAGAGAGGAGAAGAGGAGAGGGAACTTGAAGCTTGTGCCTTGCTAAGAGAGCTTGCTATTCTTTAGCTTTTAATGAATTTGGAGTTCCTGAGCAAAGAATCTCTCTGTTTAAAACTGCCTCTCCTGCTTGGTGCATTTTAAAATAGGGAAATAGGCTCTCGTTTATTCTGTGGCATCCAGGTTACAGATAGATTTAATTGTAGGTTGTATTCTATTTAGTTTAGAAGGCAGCTTATCTTTTCTTTAGCCTCTGTAGGCATTAAGAGTTGAATACTTTGTAACAGTCTGGAG